AACTGGCTGGTATCTCAATCGCCGCAAAAGAAACAACCAGGAAAGGAATTTCTGGCTAAAACATAACAATCTGCACTGATTGCAGACAAGCCCTGTTAGCCTTGAGCAGACAACGTGTTACCTCAAGGATAATACTAGAGTGCCACCAAGATTTAGCCGAAGCCTCGGTAGATAATAACATTATCCTGAGGTGGATTAAAGAGCACCACAGGAGTAAAGGTTTTCGTATTGCCGACTCTTTAGCCAAGGAAGCGGCTGAACTAAGAATTTCAGGACCCAGTGACACCTACTGCCTGATGACTTCGTATTTGCGGAACTAGCTCAATCCCTGAAGAGGTGGAATGAAATCAAAAGATGCAATCGTGCCAGGATCACCCTGGGCGATGAAGAAAAATCTGGCGATGACCAGGAAAAATCTACGCTCAACAGTAGGAATTCTGCACATATCTATGCAGGATGTGTGAACAGGAAGATAAAACTGTCAGGCATGTCCTATGCGAGTGTCCGGAGTTATTGCCAATAAGAGATTGTGTGTTCGGCGTGTTTTGGCGTACACCTGCCGATATAGAAAGCATAGAATGGACGATGACCAAGGAGGACAAGTCTTCGGGAGGATGTAAAATGGATCACATGTGGCCTAAGTGCTGTGGGTCTACGCTAACCGTCCCTACTCTACCGATACAGAGATAAATTACCCAGGGATCGGTTTCCTCCAAAAAGATAAATGTCTCCGAACCAGGTTTGATAACTTCAGACAGACAATGCCAAGTTCTGCTTCAATAAGTTTCTTGGGGGTTAAAATGGACAGCAGTAGGTCTTGGCACAATCATGTCGCTGGAATTGCAAAGGTTGCTTCTCTAAAGCTTGGAACGCTGTTTCGAACTAGAAAACTGTACACACTCCCGCAACATTTGGTGCTTTATGAAGCTCAGATGACACTTTCTTTGGAGTAGTGCTCACATGCATGAAGCTTCGCTCCTAAACATACCCTGAAGCTGCTGGATTCCATCCAGAAAAAAACCATCCGCCTGATTGGAGGCGCAAATATCATAACCTTG